GTTCAACTCATTCTTAAGATCATGATTCTGAAGTTTAATGTCTACATTCTGTAAACGGCGAATGAAGATTTTGGTTAGCACAAAAAGACTAATTCGGCCCTGTATTAATACAAGAAAGTTTCGGACCTCTTTGAGTGCCCTTTCCTAAATAAAACATATAGTTTGCGAATAAATGTTATGTGAATAAAAAGACATGTATAGAAGACCTTAAATAATCGTGCGAAAATTAAATACCATCTCATCTGGACCGAGTTTACTTAGCCTCTCTTCCAAAAAATAAACTTTCATTTTCAAGCTAAAATTTTCCTTTTTAATTTCATCAATAACCTTCAAGGTGAGTGCAAATCATTAATAAAAAGATCAGTCAGTAATGTCCGTTTTCCACAGAAGACTCGAATTATTAATTAAATACCCGTTCTTGCTCCTTCAAAGTCATTTGAGTTGTTCTTGAAGGAGCAACTGCACCCCAGCGAGGACCCTTGGTGTTTCGCTTTTGCTTGCCATCATTCATAATCCTCAACACATTCGAAGAATTGTCGGTTTCCTGGCTCAGCAAATGAGAAACATCAATTTTGTTATCGTCGACATTATTTAACTCCCTGGTGTTGTTGCCGATGTCTTAGAATGGCATTTTTTTATGTGTAAAAAGGGGTTATTCAACTTTCCTGCAAAATGAAAATATAATTGGTCCAAACCTTTGATATAACTGGCATCGATCGAACCAAAGGTCAAATTGTCATCGAAGTCAATGGTCTCGTCGTTGGTTGTTGACATACACTCTAACTTTATATTTTATTTTTAGTGGGAAGGTATACGTTGATCGGAAGTCAAAGGCTATCAAGTGGTCAAGGTGGTACTTATTTCTTAATAGCTAGAGAGTATGCGAATAAATTTTTAAGCACACTATTGTTTCTTTTTGATCGAGGCAAAAAAAAAAAAGGCTATTATACCTAACACTACATTACGTACGCACAAGTGCAATTCAAATTTGCCCGTTTTAAAATAAGATCGCCGTTTGATTTATACGAATCGGGTTTCCATCCTGCGTCACGTTCTACCTCGTTTACCTGGTAATGTCATAGTTTGCGGATCCGTAATCATAGCCTATGAAGTTTACCGGTCACGCGAGTACTAAACGTGACTACTGTTTCCGGCATTAAATGTCCGGAAAATAATTTTCTTTCACAGTTCTGATAATTAATATGTATATTTTAATTAAGACAAAAAATTTAAATGCCGTTATATATTTTACTTTACAATAAAGTCATTATTGCTTTTTGTTCTCTGACAGGCATCAATAAATTCTTTTAATTTCAACGTGTTGCACATTTTTTTTGGTAAAGGTAAATAGGCGCAGTACGCTTTTCGGATATTTAACGTGAATTATCCAATGAGATGGATTGTTTTAATGCGAAAGGTGTTAATTTAGTTTTCGAATTCAAAAATGAAGTTAACGGTATAATTTTAACAGTTGTTTTTGTCGACGCAAAAAATGGGACATAAAAAAGTTCCCACTAAGAGAAAAGGTCACAAGAAGGAAGAAAATTCCCCGGTTACGAAGAAAAAAAACGTGACACTGGCGATCAACTCGCAAACACCTGTTGCAAGTTCTTCGAAGGCCTCCCCTTTCCTAAAAATAAAACTTTCAACTAAACCTGTACAAACAAATGGCACTGAAAAACAACAAACTGGCGAAGGAGCTAAGAAAAAGTCCATTGTTTTGAACAGGTTTACTGACGAAGAGGAACCAGATATTCCGATCGAAGAACAATTTGTTTTGAGATTGATGGTGCCTGAGGATGTAAAACAAAGGTTTAGAGAAAAGGTCAGAAAAAGAAAGATAACAGAAGACGTTGGGATCGTTTTCAAAGGTAAACTCAAGGTTTTTCCGACTTTCGATAAAGTGATCAGGATTGAATTTCTGATACTTATAAATAGCAATATGTAGACTCTCGTCGGGCAATATTCACATTTGAAAATCAAAAATATAGTGCACGGTTAGTGGATCTGCCATGCATAATTGAGGCTCAAAAGACTTTTAATGCCAAACAATTATATAAAGTTGCTGATATCTGTCAGGTAATAGTTATGCTTGATATATTACGTAGTTAGGTTATTTTATTTATTTATTTATTATTTTTTTTTGCTCAATTCTGGATCTTTTTAGATGCTGATAGTAGAATCTCCCATTGACACCCAAGAGGAGGAGCAACTTTTTACCGAAAATACAAAATCTTCTAACATAGATCAATTTGAGTGGCCGGATGGACTAACACCACCTTTAAAAAATGTTCGGAAATTGAGATTCAGGAAGCGTATTTCAAACAAAGTTTGTTGTTGATGACCGTATTTTGTTATATTTTTCATTGGTAAAATTTCTAATCACTTGCGTACATATAATAGAAAATAGAAGACATCGAAAAAGAAGTTGAAAAATTATTGCACGATGATTCATTGGCAGAAGAAGTGAAAATCGGTGGGTTAAAATCATGTGGATTTATAATTTTATTTAACTTAATGCAAAAATATGGTTTGACTTGTAAATATTTACATTAAAAAGCTTGGGAAGATGCTGTCGATTCAGAGACTGCGACTCCCGCTGCGCTTCTTGGAGCATTGCCTGAGGATGAATTTGAGGAAACTGAGCTACAAGGAGAAGACGATGATTACGATGCCGAGGAATTTGAAGGAATTGAACTCCAAGAAGATTTATTAACAATGCAAAAGCATGAAAGAGATTTTGAAGAAGAATCAGCTCAAAATGATGACATAACGAAAGAGTTTCAGATAGGCTTGGATATGATGGATCAATTAACAGATGGTGAGGAGAGTGAAGATTCCGAGGAAAGCTCATTAGCCTCTTCGGAAGAGGAAGATGAAGATAGTTCATTCGAAGATCGTGAGTATCTAATTGAATTTCACATATCAATATGTATGATCGCTTACCTATATTTTCATAATAGAGGAAGAATTAACTAGAATCTTCGAGAGAGAAAGAACGTTAATGTCTGAACTGTCCGAATTAGATGCTAATTTACAAAAGAAAAGAAAAGACTTAGAAATTGAAACCAATAGCATCATGAAGGTTTGTTTTAACCATAAAGGATTATTGTTAGGATTATTGTTCTTTGGCGATTGAATGCACTGCTGCGTGACATCTCAATTATTTGTAATTAATGAAACTAGGGACGGTTTCTTAATCAAATTAATACTATAACTACGGAGATAGATCAGAAGAAGGCAGAATTGGCAAATGCAGAACAGAGAGTATCCGAAATTCAAGAAAAAATGGAGTCAAAGGTTAAGGCCCTTGCTGAAAAACTTGCTAATGATCAATCTCAGGGCGGTAAATCAGGTGAAGAATCTGACAATGAGACTACTACTTCTTCCGATATTGAAGGTGGAGATGAGGATGAGAATAATGATAATCAAGAAGTTCAAAGCGCAGATAAGGATGACAAACCATAAAAAATTGGGAATCATCAATAATATTCACACTTGTCAAATTCTAAATATACTATCTTTAAGAATAATAAATTGAGATATTATATTATAATACATATGTTTAAAGACAAAAAATTATAAAATGCATAATAAATATGACATTTATTTACTTGATATGCAAAGATTATATACTGTATCAATATAAAAAATTTATATTTAAAAAGAAAAGATAATAGTTTATTAATTTTTTTTTTTAAACCCTTTGTCAGGTTAGGTATGTATTATTCTCAATCAGAACAAAGCTAATGGCAATTTTTACAGTAATTACAATGACTCCTAAAAATGTAACTATTGTAATTTATATAAACAGTCAAGTAGCTATCAGTACAATAAATAAAGTCACTTATACTTCAATACACAAAGTTATTAAAAACATTAGAAATTAAAGTATTACACTCAATATTGTGCAAAGATGCAAGGAATACTGATTCAACTCTCTTTTCATAAAATCAAAGCATACGTATATAGATATTGAAGATAATAAAGTAACAGATTAACTTATATAATGTTGATTAAAGAAAATTTAATCTTGCTTTTATTTTACAAAACAATATATGTTATATAATATGAAGATATAATATAATAAATATTCTAATTAAAAACTTTTACAAAACAATGTTTTATATTAAACATTTAGCTCAGTAAAAACTTTTCAAAAAAAATAAAATATAGTTTTATATATAACAAGACAAATAACAGATTAATAAAATATTTTAACTATTTTAATTCAAATAATATTAATTATAG